GTCAATTATCTTCAAATTTATGATTGAATGGTTTTGATGATTTTTAACCAAAAAAAAATTAATTGAATTCATTCGGAGGAGAAGACAAAGAGATACGGACTAAAGACTATCTATTACAAAAATCTTATTCCAATTTTAAGCCGCTCGTTTTACTCATAACTTTCGCTACGCATTTTTATCCGCGATGAAATTCAGATCTATTAAATAATAGTTAGCATCGAAATGGTTTCACAGGTGGATTGTATGAATGAATAGCGGATTTGTTTTAAGTTGTGCGCCAAACTTTAATCTTTTTTTCCATTTCGGATTGTTCAAGTGGTTTCTTTTTGGCCGCCCTCTGACCAAAAACCGACAACAACAACAACAATGAAGAAAAACAATTCATTAGCTATTTAGCTATTATATTCTCATCATGGAAATGCCGCATCCAGTAGAATCGGTAAATTATTTCGTAATTGAAACCGCCGCACACTTTCGGAAGAATAAGAACGATTCAAACGAAGAAAAAAAACTCCTTTTAAAAGACTGTAATATTCGAATTTTTAACAGTGCATATTTTCTAAATCTAATTACAAAGCGAACAATGAAGAAGTTGTTACGAAAACGAAATACTTTCAAGAGATCTAAATTAGAGGTAAAGTACCAAATCAAAATCAATAAGAGAACAAAAAACAGAAGAAGTCAAGACAATCCACAGATAGGAAATAAACACATTGGTTATACATTTATATATATTTTATTTTTTTTCGGATAAAGAGCATGTGCAACTAAATCGTGTGTAATAATAAGGCAAAGTGAGAAATGAGATTTTAATCTGTTTACTGTGCTTTCTTTTTGCTTAACGCAATTCGACCAAACAAACAGATCTATTCGTCCGAGAGTGTAGCCGTACTGGGTTATCTCTCTCTTCTTCTCGCTCTCCCCGTCTCTTTTTCGTTCTGTTTCTGTAGCTTTTAACAAATATCGCGCATTGAAAATATATATAACAAGCAGTATTGCTTTGGTTATTGCACAGTCCTTCTCATTTTAATTCGTTATTTTATAAAATTGTTTCTGAGGTTGTTATTTCTCTTGTTTTCCTCACTGTTTAACATTTCTTTGTTGCTTTTTTTCTCTTGGTGGAGTTTTTTTTTTTTCATTTTGTAGCAAAGAGATTTTGTTTCATCGGTAATTTTCGTTCGATTATTTTTCACGCTTCTTTAAAATAGATCGAGAGCTGAGCGCGAGCGCAAATGCGATCACCAAATTAGAAGTGAATATTATATTGTTTTCGCGCACCTCGTTCACGTACTCTTTCTTGATCGTTTTCGTTGAAATGCAATTATGCTGTTTTAATATTGTAAACGGTCTCTATCGACATGAAGCACACCAAATCACAACAAAACGTTTATTATCGCGCGACCATTATTTACAGTCGTTAAACGACACACTCTCATCGATATCGCGTCGAACAATGTTGGCCAGTGCGAGAGAGTCGGGGAAAACAACAACGATTGTCATATCGATTGAATTTACGAATATATTGCAAATGGTTTGTCGTATATAGGGTGACCACAATTGGTCCGGCGATTTTTTCTCGAAATTGATAGCATTTTGAAGGAGTCAGCAAAAATGACATGAAGCACACTTTTTCTAACCTAAGGAAAATTTCGAATTATATTTCTGCATCGGGGGATCCGCTCTCTGTGGAATCGGCTTTAAACTATGGAATCCATTCGACTTGAATGAAAACCAGTTCGCAGTCACCCTGTTCCATTATTATTTATGGTCAGATAAAACAATTTAGAACTCTTTTTCACTTTCCTTTCACATACAGATGTGTACGAATGCAGTGAAATGTGGCGATGATCATTTTAGACCTTTTGCAATATTTACAACGTAACGCTAGACGCTCGCCTGTCTAGTTTTATCTATACTATAAAAAAAATTGATCCGAAGCAAAATATGAAAAACCATAACAACGTAAACAATAAATGTGCTTGAATTGTTGGATATCGTTCGGTGTCTATTTTTTTTCTCTTGGTGATCGTTTCGATTTCGTTTCGATTAGAAAATCTATTGTTTTGAGCATCAATAATAATAATAATTCATTTGATGCATTATCAATGGAATATCGATTCAAATATTGTCATACATACGAAATTGATTCGTTGGATTGCACGTTTATTTTATGGTCAATAATGAGCATGGAAAAAGTGTGTACATTTTTAGACACAACCTGATGTACAAAATTTAAAAAAAAAAAATACATTTGGCTATCAAATTACGTCGTAAGGTCAAAAGTTCAAAGAACAATGGAATTTGTTGGAATATGCGATGCGCTAACGCTCATTGAGTTAATTTCTACAATGCGAACGCGAAGCTAAGAGATGCATAAAAAGGTGGAATGTTGAATCTTTAAAAAAAAGACAAACGTTTGGCTGATGCAAAAACCAAAATGTTTATAATCATCATGACGACTGCCAGTGCACGGTGATGGATGAATTTCACAACAACAAAAATCGAAATCAGTTTTTATCAAAGCCCGGATTCACAGGACACATTAGAATGGGCTTGAACATTTTGAACGGCACACTGAAAAACCGCGCGCATATACATAAGCCAAAATGTAGCGGCTACAAACATTCCAATGCACGAAGGACATTCCATTCAAATTTATTTTAAACAGAAGCCAAAATTGATTGATTAGTCGAAAACTTGAAAGCGGAAACAAAAGAATGCCGTCACAGATGATGCAGACTGGTTTTCGCTGATGCAGTTTTTTTGTCCTTCCCTTTTTTTATATTATAGATATTTGTATGTCGTCGGTTTGTGTGTCTCGGTTTGCGAGATGCATATTTTTGTATTGAATTTTGCGGTTACCTTGCCCAGCACCATCATTCAGTCAATTTCGTTTGGCCATTTATTGTCAACCGATCCGATGATGATATTTTATATCAAATAAAAATATTTGAAATGAATCGCAAAGGGAGCGAGGGAGAGAGGGAGAGAGAGAGAGAGAGAGAGAGAGAGAGAGACGAAAAAATGGAAAACGAGACAAACTGAATGCGAATCTGAACTGGTGATGACACAAAAACCGGGCGAAAATCAGCGTAAAATGGAATGAGCGGCAAAAAGAGACAAGCGATCAACATAGCGATGCAGCAAGCAGGCACAGTTTACGCGTTTTCGTTAAGGCGGTTGATTTTATTTTATGTCATTTTATGTTTGTTTTTGTTGTTTGGTCGCCTCTTTAACTCTCTGAATTTTGTTGTGATGGACTTTTTTTTCTGTATTCGGTCTCGCAATATTCGCTGATACGTGCGCGATGTAATGCACATAGTGCGGCGTGTAAGGATTTATCATTTCGAATTTTGCTGCCGGCAGTCGATGTGTGTGCAAAACGGACCAATGTTTGTATTTGTAAATGACATCGTGACATTTCTGTATCAAGCAAACCGAAATCTGAAGAAAAAAAACGATGCTTTATTATATGCGCGCTCACAAATTTGTTTTTTGCTGCGCGCGATCTTTCTCTTTCTTTCCCTCTCCATTTGGATGCATCGGCATCCTTTTTGAAAATAATATTGAATAAATAAGAGCCGGAGATACACGCACAAGAGATGAGAGGGAAAAAAATTGCAATGCAAATTTTTCGATTGGGCTTTTGCGTGCATGTATTTGTGTGTCGCTTGATGTATAATTGATGATGCATTTTTTTCATGTTGCTCTTTTTTATTCTCTTTCTCTTTCATTCTCTCTCGGCCGCCGGTTTTTAACGTTCCTTTTTTAACTAAATTACGAATGAAAAACCCAATCAAAATGAATCCAGCCGCGCATAAACACGTTGTTATCTCTTTTTCGTCATTTCGTCTTCGATTGACGCTTACTTTCAAGGCAAACTCATACATATACACACAATTGGCGGTTATACGCTAAAGAATTTCCACATTTTTCATTACTATTTCATATTTAAATCGTATGTATGCGGCACGACTGACTTTTTTGCATTCGACGTGATGATTTTTTTTATTGTTTTGCAATCAAATATTTTAAAAGATAAATCATCAATTTTTGTTCGAAATAGAATTCATTCATTTTCTGAATCATTTTTGATTTGAAAAGTTAAAATTAAAATCAAAGTGGACAACTTTACTTATAGCGTTTGGATGCAAACAAACACAGAATGTATAGATTTGGTCGCTTATTATTGTTTTGAATTATTAATAAAGCTAATTAAATATATTCCATGAAAACCGATAAAATTGAAAAATTGATGACATTATTTGTGAAAAGTTTTTTTTTACTAAAAACTATCAGACAAGGCTTTTGTAGACAATATTAGATGTTTTTTTATATCAAGAAATATAATTCTTCATATTGTTTTTAGAATTAATCACTAAAAAGTTTATGCCGATTGTAGTCTTGTATAATAATAAAATTCAAAGTACAAGTTCCTTATTGACTACAAAAAATCGAAAATAACAGACAAACAAATATTTGCAAAACAAAACTAGTTTATTGTTATTAGAAAATCGAATGCATTTCGAACGACAACTGAGCGTTCATCTTCAGCGCAACGCTAACATACACTAAACAGAAAGAA